TTTGTTGCTCAAATGTTCAGCTTCCGGACTTTAACTCATGTCAAAGCATTCAAGCGATTGGTACTGTAAGGTACATTGTTTTGTTGTTTTGTTTTTCAATACCTGGGATGATGATGATCCCACTTGACCAATGATGGTGTTTCACCACGGAACACCGAAGCATAGGCACAACGATTGATAGCTCCCACAAAGATGATTTGGTGTTGATTCGGTTTGGACTACAAGCCAATTTGGAAGTTGTGTTATCTGGTTGGTGGTTTCACACATTTTTTCCATAATATATTGGGAACGATCATCCCAACTGACGTTCATATTTTTCAGAGGGGTAGGTCAACCACCAACCAGTAGTGCCCCAAGGTGCCCACAGTGATTTTTCTTTGATACCCCAATGAAGTATAGCTAGATCTATGCGATATCTATGCGATATCTACCAGGACTCCTAGTTATGGTTGGTTATACCATATTATACCCTCTGGTTATTTAAGATAGCTATGGAAATCGGCCCATTGATAGATGATATAGGCATGATGATATACCTGTTAAACATGGTGATGTGCCAGGTCGCTACGTTAAATCACCAGAGGGTAAACTATGATAAAGCCATTTTTTGTTGCCGATTCCGAGCTCTGCTCAGCATGCCATTGGCTTCGACAACGAAGGGTTCCTTCTCCATGGGAAGGGCCGAAGTCAGGCAGCTGAGACCCGAGTGGGTTGGTATGAAGATTTTGAAGATTTTGTTTCATAGGGAAGACTTACTGGTGCTAAACGCAGGGAATCTTCGGGAATGATCCCAGTCATCACTAGTAATCATCCCAGCAATTCCCTTTCCCATCCATTCCCGGCCCTTAGCACCAGTAAGAAGATAATGATGATCCATTCGATTGGGGGTTCTTATTTCAGAGCCAAGTGGATTGGTGAGGAGTTGTGTTGCAATTAGTAGTAGTTTTCTATAATGTTCTGTGATTTTAATAGGAAACATGGGGGGAAACGTGGGAACATGGGAACATGTTGATAAACCCAATCAGATTTCAATCGGGTAGCCTTTTTTGAGACACTCATTTAACATCATTTAACCAAAGATTCCGAATTCTTCATTTCCCTGATGCACCTCATATTGTCAGCAACTATGGGTACTGTACTTTGTGGGTCAGGTTTATCCCACAGTGAAGCTTAAGAAGCGTGGTCAGCGTTGTGATGACCCGTCAACCCCCTGGGGCGATGATTTGATGATCCACACTACCCGCTGGTAAACATTTACAGTTTACAGTTTGCTATTGAAAATGGCCATAGAAATAGTGGATTTACCCATTAAAAATGGTGATTTTCATAGTTTTTTTGTATGTTTACCAGAGGGTAACTTGTATTGCTGTTGATAGTGAATGGGTTCACAACATGAAGACAGCAAGCAGATGAGTTGCGCCTGACCTGGTAGTTTGGAGGTCTTGAAGTCTTGAAGCTAAGGGTTTGAATATGTTGTTTTTCAGTCGGATAGGTAGATAGGTAGATAGGTAGGTAGGTAGGTAGGCAGATAGGTAAAATAACAATTCTTTGCAAGGCTTTTGTTGATGACCGTAAACCGGATCCGACTGTAAGAAGAAGGCTGCAATCTTGCTACTTCATCAAACAGTTTTGCTGAGTCCAACCATCTTGGAAGGGTCAGGTGATAGCCCAGCTATAGATGGGATAAACGAGTTAGGGGACTTATCAACTATGGTAATCAACCAGATAGATCAGATAGTAAATGGAACAATCCATCACAGCATCCAGAAAGCAACACATACCTACTAAATACATTATACACATTTAACATCCTACCACAGGATTAGATGCTTTTGATGTCATTTTCCAATATCTCAGATTTTATGTTTATATATATATATAGTTCATTCAGTTCTGATGTATCCCACCCCCCTGGTGGCACCCCGACTGGGATCTGTATATATATATATAATTATATACACATATCAGATTATATGTATAGAAATATAGTAGTAAATATAAGGATAAATTATCAGATTATAAATTATCTGTATATATATATATATTTATATAGAAATATAGTAGATGTGTTTGTTGAGGTAAAATTCGCAACACCTATGATATTCAGGGCCTTTTTTTTCGCTGACGCATCGTCCCGTAACGCCAGGTGTCGCAGAAATTCAGCACCGGTGACGTGGTCGCAGTGGTGTGGTGCTCAGAGGATGGGACTGTTGCTGCGAATCATGGTTAGTAAGGGAAATCATCCCCAAATGGCCCAACAATTCAGGTTAGTGAAATATTATAATTTACCCAGATATAATATCTGGTTGGTGGTTTCAAACATGTGTTATTTTCCATAATACTGTATATGGGATGTCATCCTTCCCATTGACGAACTCATATTTTTCAAGATGGTTATTGCACCACCAACCAGATATAGTTATTTAGAGGTTTTCTACGGTAAATCACCCTTTTTAAGAGGTAAATAATCACCTTCCATGTTTATATATATATATATATATCATCTCTTTTCAGGGGCATGGGGCATGGCTTCCATCATCTATGTTTAAAGAAACAGATGGTAATGGGAAAGGTTTCTGCATTGGCCAAAATAGCTAACCTGTAGAAACTGGAAATGGTAATTTCTCATATAGAATAATCTATGGCTATTGCACAAGAACCATAGGAATTTGGAGGAATTTGGATGACCTATCGATCTGGTTCAAGTGTGTTGCACATATCCCTGTGCTTCACATAAGTGTACTTACCAACAGTTGCAACATGCATGGAGCATATGAGATAGGATGTAGCCCGCTCATCATGGAGATACTTTATTTACAGAAGGGTTCCGACGTTCCGACCCTGTACAACAATAGCTAAACACTTACGAAAGGCCTTTGTGCTTTCAGTGGTTTAATGGGGTTACACTTTCCTAAGATTGTTGTTGTTTTGATTTTCACAATTCGATTTGTTTTGCCAAACCAAGAGTCCTTTCAAACCAATTGTGATTCCAGCTTTGTTTGACATCAGGTTCACCAATGATGCCCGCATTGGGCTTTGCATAGACCTGGCACGACCAACCCCAGACGGTTTGTTGGTCATGCTGTATCCCATGTTGTGCACCCCTTCTATTGCGTTCAGAATGCGCTGGTGCTGTAAGGAAAGTCCATGCAAAAGCGCTGATAGCGCACACCTTCCTGGTGTTATGGACCTTGATTGACCAAACATGTTTAGAAATTTGAAATATATATCTCGTCACTTAATCATGACCTGGCTGGTGGTTGCGTGTTTGCTTCGCCTTTGTTCCACATTTTGGATGATAATGATGATGATGATGATGATGATGGTGATGATGATGATGATGACGACGATGACGATGATGATGATGATGATGATGATGATGATGATGACGGTGATGATGATGGTGATGGTGAGTGATGGTGATGGTGATGATTGTGATGATTGTGATGATTGTGATGATTGTGATGATTGTGATGACTGTGATGATTGTGATGATCGTGATGATCGTGATGATTCCAGTGACGATGAATTATGATTGTCTTAATCTATATGTTTTATTCATATTATTTTGTTAAACCCCAACTAGTTCAGTCGGAACCCGCCAAACAGTTCTGCTTGGCCCATCTTTTGTACAGAATGAGGTTCGCCTCACTCACCTCACCTGACGTTTTAGTGCTGTTTGGCAAGCTGGGTTGATATAATCATATCACTGCGATGTTTCATACCCCATCAGTTGGGATTGTTTTACTGGATGCATAGTTAGATCATATTATATAATATTATGTAGTTATAATTTATAGTAATATTAATTAGATATCGTCGAATATATACAATATGTATGTATATATATATATATACATAGATAGATAAATAAGCTACAAACTGATCCCCAGAATGTGATTGGATGCTAATGGCGGCGCCTATATTTGATAGTTTGACCATGGTACAGTCACGCGACTGCCTGGACCCTCGGCAAGGTGTTGAATCTGAACAGCGCCAGTCCCAACGCTTCTTGCCCTCCAAAGGGCCGCAGGGGTCTGACAAGTCTGACGGGAAATTTGAGAGGATCTTAAATATTGATGACCAATGAATATAGAGACTGAGATATTTCAGAAATTGTATGTCTGAGAGTTGTTTCATGTACTTACCTATGCACCTGGCTTATTTGAGCATTTTTCCGGCGATTTGAAGACTTATTTTGCCTCTTGAGATGTTTTTTTGGACAGGATGGGACGGGATGGATTGTTTTGAACTCAAACTTACCGGCTCTCAAGCTTGAGGATTACAGTAGTTCTCTACAGTGAGAGAGTCGCGTGATCTGGGCTCAGGCTTAAGAGCTGAAACCCGCCAGCCAGTTGTAAATTCTTTTTGGCAGATATTCCTTAGCCTGCTAGTTCGATCTCCAGTATATACCTCCATCTTCAGACCCAAATTCCCCCATGTTTGCTTCAGCTATATCATCTCCATAACTTGATAGTTTGATTTGATATTGGTTGTTGATTAGTTGGCCCTCCATGTTCAATCATTTTTTCCTGGTTCAATCACCCGGGGTTTGTCCATGTGGGGTTTGTTTAAACCTCCCGGCGTTCTTCTCCGCTGGCCCAGGCTCATACCATCAGCCTCTTCAAGGACGAGAACAGTGAGCTCCAGTGTGCATAAGTATTGTATATACAGCCTGCTCAGCCTATATATATATATATATATATACATGTGTATATATATATATATATATATGTGTGTGTGTGTTTGTACACATATACATATATATGTATACATCTATATGTATATCATGTGTTAAAGATCATGTATATATATGATATCTAGATTATATATGGTTGTTGTTGATTATTATATATCTGTGTATATATAATTATATACACATGTTTGTGACATTGTTTACACATCATGTGTATATAATATATATATACATACATACAGTATATGTCGTGTTGTATATTGTATTAATATAGTTTGTATATCATATATATATATATAATATCTATATACCTTCTTCAGGGGGTCAAGACCATCAGTGTTCTGTTTTCAGACCACATGGGAGTCGCCCACAGTATTCTGCAATACGTGTGATTTTGTTGGTCCTTCAAGGCTTCTCGGTCAGAGACAGGACATCACTCGGTATGTTGGTTAAGTGCCCCGGAACTGAGGCTTAACTCCCTAAGATTCTGCAGTGGTTTACTTCTTTCAGAGGAGATACATTTTTATTCAAAGGTAATATCATTTTCACGCGGACTCCTCTGATATCCATCAAGTGCCCCTCTGATATCCATGGCAAATGGCATAAACTTCGTTGTAGTCTCCTCTGCAACCGCAATAGTAGACCTCCCATACGGATTGATGGTTTCTAACACCCATTTCATGGTAAGTCACTGGGGATGGTGGGGTACCATATGATGAGTTGAGAAACCATCAGAAACGGGGGTGGAGATCCATTGGTGAATCCCAGGAATCCAAGAACTGTTGCTTTCCTCAGATTTGAGGTTGGAGATCAGCATGTGAAAGTGAACCGTTTCAGAATTTGTGAACCAATTCACAACTTTTCAGATGTTTAAAGCAAAAGGAAAATGATGGTACGGCATTTATTTGCTCTCCTATTCATACTATGCTGTTGCTCAAAAAAAATCATTCAAAAAAAATCATGTCCCTAAAACATAGGGACACAAAAGGGGGACCGCACCCTACGTTCCCAGAACGGCAAACGTGCCTCGCAGCCGCAAGCTCTGCCAGAGATATTGAAGGACAAGGTACCGCCGGGATGGCTGCGGGTACGCAACACTAAGCCCGGGCGAAATCTGCGGCCCCCGGGATGTGCATCTCTGACCGGCAAGTGGATTGGAACTTGTTGAGCCATCGCTATAGATGGTGATTGTCCTGGATCATCAATGCAAGACCATTGTTATGTGTTTTATCTCTTTGTAGGTGTTTTAATATGTTTTAATATGTTTTAATAAGAAACAAAGCATAAGAACACTCAAATATCTTTCTTTAAGGCCAACATCATAGCATCAACCCTACTTTCTCGTCGCGGTTCTTGATTGCTCCAGGCGTTGTACCCCATCTTGACCTTCAAGAATGCGCTAGCCACAGCCACCTTCGGGACTCACCAGAGAGTATGATGTCTTGGGATGGTTGGATGGTTGAACCAATGATTAATGGTTAATATGGGTAATTAAAACAATAATAAGCCACCCATTTGGGGATGTGAATCATTGTTTTCACGTCTAAGCGGTCACATGACAACCAACACATGCCTGTAGCAGTTGAACATGGATATGAAAACTACCCCCGACCACAGCTTAATTTTCTATGATTTTCCAGTTCCATGGGTTGTGTCCCTTATGAAAATCAGAAAGGAGACCATATCACACAATCTGCCAAAGATCTGGGCATAGGGCAGCCCTTTAGATGATTTTACGATGAACAAACACGGAGTTCATCTCTTGCGATTCAAGGTTGAGGATAAATGAGGCATACACATCACTGCAACTTCAGATCATGTTGTTTGCATTACAACTATAAATGAACATGTTTTAGTTGCATATTTAATGCACACAGTTGCTGATATATTACCGGTATTTACCGATGACCCCAGCAGTTGGCTTCAGGTCACGTTGCACTACAACTTCGGGCCGCATACTATGGCCCCTTTGCCCTTCAAGTGCCGTAGCATCAACGATGCTCGCCGTTCGGGCTGGGGGGTGAGTTGAAGTCACCGTGGCTGGTTGAAAAAATGGTTCAAAGTCTATTGGAAGCAGTGTCGTAATATCTTAAATGAAGAAGATTCATTGAATATCAATAATGATACTATTATACATATTATACTATTAATAGTTTTAGTTATTAGATACAGACAGATAACGAATATAAATGATCGTACAAGTAAATGGATATTCATGGTGAGTTTGTGCCAGCCATGGGGATACCACCCACCAAAATTACCAGTATGATTTTGGGAAAAACACATATACATATTATACATATACTGTACCTCCTTCAGTTGGGAGTCATTTGATTTGATATTTGATCCTTTTCAGCAGATTGCCGCGAGGAGTTTTGTTGGATGAATGAATGGATTGAACAAAAAATACCAAGAGTCCCTGCCATTCCCTGCCTGGAGGTTTGTCAGGTTTGGATGGTGGGAAAGGGTAACATGCAGACATATACCCAAGCTGTCAAAGTTTCCGCTACTTATCATACTGACATATACTGACAGCATCTGACAGCTGAAATATGCTGAAATGAGACTATCTGTAGTCGATTTTGGAGATCCCCATGTTTAGGAAGCCAATTCTGATGCAAAAAACATATATAAAAAACTATCCATGAACCCATGAACCCATCATTTTATATCATTTTATGGGCTAATGACCTCTGTACTCTTCAAGGTAAACACCCCAACTTCGGAGGGCACTCTGGGGCTTTGGTGCCCGTGATTTACCTCCGGTCGCGATTTCGCAACGCGGGTGATGCGGTGGCGGATTTCCCTGGGAATACAGAGAAAAATATATGTCATATGGGAGCCGTCCGTAAAAGCAGGTCACAAATTTATGAATTGATGCGTTTACTTTGCTTTGCGCGATTGCTAAAACCTGCATCGCGATAGGCTGAGCGATTGGTTGGCGATTGGTTATACGGCTACCACCCTATTACTACTACTACTACTACTACTACTACTACTAGTACCAGTACTACTACTACTACTACTGCTACTACTACTACTACTACTACTACTTTTACTACTAGTACTGCTAGTACTGCTAGTAGTACTACTACTACTACTACTACGACTACTACGACTACTACGACTACTACGACTACTACGACTACTACGACTACGACTACTACTACTACTACTAGTACGAGTACGACTACGACTACGACTACGACTACTACTACTACTACTATTACTACTACTACTACTACTACTACTACTACTTTCGAGACCAGAACCATGCCAATAATTGACATGGCCGCGCGGATTCCGCGCGCGCGGAATCCGCGCAGATGTTTTCAGGTCAGAAGGACATTCAAGCTAGCTCCAATTGAAAACAGGTCAGAAAACAGGTCAGAAACAGGTCAGAAACACCAAAAAGGCAGCACTTGCCTAGCATCCCATCCATCCATCCATCCATCCATCCATCCATCCACCTCAGCTCTTATCATTGCTACTAATACTACTACTACTACTACTACTCCTGCTGCTACTACTACTGCTACTACTACTGCTACTACTGCCACTACTACTACTACTACTCCTACTACTACTCCTACTCCTACTTCTACTCCTACTCCTACTACTGGTATTACTGTGAGTTTTCCGGACCGTTTCCGGACCGCGCAATTTTCTTTTCTTCTCAAATATGAAAACGAATGCGTTCATGGGCGGATCCTTCTACTAGTGTTGCTACTACTCTCAGTATTACCACTAGCGCCGCTACCACTGCAACGCCGCTACCACTACTACACCGAGGAATTTTTGCCTTTGCTTTTCTCCACTTGACAGAAGTTCCACGGAAGGGTCAGAAATAGTCAGAAACCAGTCAGAAACCGGCCAAACGCACCCTCTCTCTCTCTCTCTCTCTCCCTTGCCTATTCCCTCACCCTCCTACCAGAACTCCTACGCCTACTCCTATTCCAATTTCCACTACCACTACTGCTAGTGCTACTGCTACTGCTAGTGCACTGTGAGTTTTCCGGACCGTTTCCGGACCGCACACGCTTATTTTGCTCCCAAATTTGAAATTGAATGCGTTCACGCATGGATCCTTACTCTCATTACTAGATTTGCTACTACCCCCAGCACTACCACCACACCCGCTGCTACTGCACCACCCTGCACCACCACTACCACCACTACCACTAGTACACCTAGGAATTTCTGCTCTTGCTTTTAAATCCAATTGCACTCGTGTGAAGTGTCAGAAACGAGTCAGAAACCAGTCAGAAACCCGTCAGAAACCGGCCAAACGCAATCTCTCTCTCTCTCTCCCTTGCCTATTCCCTCACCCTCCCATCAGAACTCCTACGCCTACTCCTATTGCAATTTCCACTACCACTACTGCTAGTGCTACTGCTACTGCTAGTCCTGCTGGTACTACTGTGAGTTTTCCGGACCGTTTCCGGACCGCACAAGCTTATTTTGCTCCCAAATTTGAAATCGAATGCGTTCACGCATGGATCCTTACTCTCATTACTAGATTTGCTACTACCCCCAGCACTACCACTACACCCGCTGCTACTGCACCACCCTGCACCACCACTACCACCGCTACCACAAGTACACCTAGGAATTTCTGCTCTTGCTTTTAAATCCAATTGCGCTCGTGTGAAGGGTCAGAAACGAGTCAGAAACCAGTCAGAAACCAGTCAGAAACCCGTCAGAAACCGGTCAAACGCAACCATCTGTTTCCCCCTCCCTCCCTCTCTCTCTCTCTCTCTCTCTCTCTCTCTTTCTCTCTTTCCCTCCCTCTCCCTTTCTTCCCTTGCCCTGCTACTAGAACTCCTTCTCCTATTCCTACTCCTACTCCTACTCTTACCCCTCCTACTACTACTACTACTACTACTACGACTAGTACTACTAGTACGACTAGTACTACTAGTACTACTAGTACTACTAGTACTACTAGTACTACTAGTACTACTGCTGCTGGTACTACTGTGAGTTTTCCGGACCGTTTCCGGACCGCGCGAGCCTATTTTGTTCCCAAATTTGAAATCGAATGCGTTCACGCATGGATCCTCATTATATAATACATATCTTATATTTTATGTATATGATCTGATCAACGAAGAACAAACCCTTCCGCGATTGCTCACTGTGGTACCGCGGTTGCTACGCGATTGGCTGAGCGATTGAGGGCTGTCCGGGAAAATGTATTTTGGACAACCCCCATATATAATTATATATACTGTATACTGTAGATGTAATGTTTATATATATATATGTATTATATATATATATATACATACCTTTTTTAGCCAGCCACAAGGCCACAAGCTTCCCATTGTATCTGGGAGTTGAACATCCGAACAAAGCTGTTGGCGACATCTCCCCATGGGCCGTTGTGGTTCTTGGTCGTTTCAGGAAGTCTTACAGCCCGACGTCAGTAAGAAGAAGGAACACACAGCCCACAGTGAGGGGCAATACGAGGTGGGGACCGGATGTCCTGGGCATCCAGTTTGTGTGACTGGTTGGGTTGCCATCAAAAATGGGGAAAATCATGATAAGCAAATAAACCTTAAAAATTCTGGTGGTTTTCATCTAATCTTTTCTAAAGCAAATGGAAAGTACCAAGATGTAGCCCAACCCATTCCCC